TGGCAGGAGGTCACGGGGCAGACCCAGGTGCCACTGGTCGACTGACCGAGATGACCGAGATGACTGGCTGATGCACCACCTGTGCCCCCTACTGTGCCAACTTGCTGTGCTTTAGCCACCCGGCGCTCCGCTCGTTGTTGTGAGCGTCGCTCCTCCGCCCTCCGTTGTTGTTGGAGGGCGACTGCCTCCAACTGCCCAGTAGCGTCCTTCACGAGCCTCCTCCACTGAGGCCGATCTTGACACCGCTGGTACCAGTCATCGGCAAGTCCACTCAGCTCCACGTCCTCCTGTACCACATCACTCCATCTCTTCTCCAGCCCGTGCCGCGCCCGTCTAGCCCCCTCGATCCGGCCGAACAAAAGCTGTTTAGGCATGCGGTGGCTGGGCATGCGGGCTACATGACCCAGCCAACGCAGCCTTGCCTGCCGGAAGAGCTCACCGATGGGACTTTGCCAGATCTTTCAAGGATTTGCGAGCTCCTCACACAATCCAGCCTGGTTAAACCCAGGATGGTTCGTAGGCAGGCCAGCCTAAATGTTTCCAACCGGCGAAGATGCTCTATTAGGGGGATCCACGTTTCGCAAGCGTAGAGAAGGGAGGGAATGACTGTGGCCGAGAAGACTTGAAGCTTCGTGCGGAGCGACAGACTAGGTAGCTTCCACACAGCGTTACGCAACCGATGAAAGGATATTGCTGCACGACTGATTCGGAGTGAGACCTCTGTTGTTAAACTGGAGCAGGTCATAAACACACTGCCCAGGTATGGCAAACACTCCAATTTCTCCACTACTGCCACATCACCGATTGGGAGTTGGGTGGGTGGAGTGTCCGATGGTACAAAATACCCAGGCAGGTGCCACCTCTTAGTGGCACGCTCCAGTCTCAGCAGCAGCGTCTCCAACTCCTCCTCTGAATGAGCAGAAATTACCAAATCATCGGCATACATAACGTGGTTGACCAATAGGGAGCCATCCCTTGATCACACCCGGGCATCGATCAGCCTCCCATTATATCTGTACCAAATGGAAATTCCCCCGGTACAGCTATTAAAGGCTTCACGGACTACGTGGTCAAAATAGATGTTAAATAATGTGGGAGCCAGAGGACATCTCTGTCGCACCCCAAGGTGTACAGGGAAAGGCTCTGACTCAAGGCCACATAGTTTTACCCGGGCCCGCTCACCATCATGAAGGTCCTTAATGATTGTGAGCAGAGGGTCAAGGACTCCGAAAGCACGAAGAACAACCCAGAGCCCAGGCCTAATAATGGTATCATAGGCCTTGACCAGATCAATAAAGCAGAGATGTAGGTCTTGTTGGAATTCCCTACACCTCTGCTGTAGCAGACGGACAGAAAATATGGCATCTGTGCAGGACCGCCCTTTCCTGAAACCGCTTTGGGGCTCCGCAAGCCTCTCCTCAGCGTGCCTAGCAAGGCAATGTTGAATAATCCTTGCCAGGACCTTTCCCGGCACACTGAGGAGTGAGATGCCCCTGTAGTTGTTGCAGTCTGTGCGGTCCCCTTCTTAAAGAGGGGGACCACCAGGGCATCCTTCCAATCCTGCGGAACCCGTCCAGTGGTCCAGACTGTTGTTATGATGTCATATAGGGCAGTCTGTGCACAAACGCCACCCTCCCTGAGCATTTCACTTGGGAAATCATCTCTGCCCGGTGCCTTTCCTGTTCTCAAACTCCGGATCGCCTTCAGTACTTCTTCAACAGATGGCACCTCAGCCAGCCACTCACAGGGGATGACCTCTTCCAATATTTGAGGCACCGCAGCCTCAGCAGGGTTATCCCCACTTTGTGCCATGATGTTTTCCTGGCTGAGGGATTTCCCCTCCCCCAGGACCTCACAGAAATGCTCAGCAAATCTGCAAACCTGTTCCTGGGGGTCTGAGATTGGATCACCGTTTTTTCCCCTAATGACCGTAACAGGTGTGGCACTGCAGGTTACTTTTTATGGAGATAAATAGTGAGTTGTGATCGCGGGCCACTGAGGCAGACTCCATCTCCTTAGCAACCCGCGACCACCACCCATCCTTGCAGCGCCTTACGGCTCTCCGAACCTCCGAGCGAAGGCTGCGGTAAGACTCCTCATTCTCTGATGTGGGATGCTGTAGCCGATTAGAGTGGGCCTATCGCTTTTTCTCAACTATCCTGAACACCTCCTCTGTCAGCCAGGGTTTTTGGGGAGGTCTGGACCGCGTACCCAAAGCAGCCATTGCAGCTGCATGAGTCACAGTCCTAAACCTTGCCCATATACCCTCGACATAAGGAGGAGTGGGGGACGATGCCAACCCCAGCTGCAAGCGATGATGAATTTTTTGCTTAAAACTTTCATCAGCGAGCTGAGACCAAGCCACTGTGGGTTGGAATGGGGTTCTGGATGCACACCCACCACCGAAGTGGAAGAATGGCAGGCGCATCTTACAGATGACAAGCTGATAGTCAGTGGGCAGAGCAGCTCCACGATAGGTCCTGGTGTCAAGGATATGGGCCTGCATCCGCTGTTGTGCCACTATATAGTCCAGCACATGTTGTTGCTTGGACTCGGCGTGAATCCATTATGTTGTGTGGATGCGCGAATGCCGGAACAGCGTGTTGGTAATTACAAGCCCATACTGCTGCACAAAAATCGAGTAGCCTCCTACCATTGTTATTGAGCTGATCTGGCCATGCCTTCAAAAAATTCCAGACCAGGTGCCAGCAAGATGGAATTATCATCACCCAAAAGGATCACTATCCTGAGGGGCCACTTTAGCTTGCGCCTAAGACAGGATGTCGTAGAAGGCATCTGACTCATCGGCTTTGCCTGCATCCCTCCACTGATGTTCATCTTTGGTGGGGGCATAAGTAACCACAACCACCACTCCTTGTCTCTGCTTGATGGGAAGGTGAGCCCACAATATCCTGGGACTTATAGCTTACCACACCTTCATAATAGAGGTGTTTTTTTTAAAGTTATATTGCGTTAATATATAAATGTCATTAAAACCTGCCACCACCCAACACAGCTAACTAGTAAGGGTTGTCACGTAAACAGAACATGCCAATTCGTCACCAGTACAGCACACCGATGTGTTGGAGAGCCAAGCCACAATGTTTACAATCTGAGTACGACGTTTTGTCAGTAATTACAACTAGCTTCATCAGGCGACAGCCAGATCTGTGGAGAAGTCCACTGGTTTCGTTCCTTATATAGAGGCGTAGATGTGATGACCACACTTCTGCGCTCTTGTGCTGTACTTGTGACGAATTGGTATGTTCTGTTTACGTGACAACCCTTACTAGTTGGCTGTGTTGAGTGGTGGCAGGTTTTAATGACATTTATATATTAACGCGATCTAAGCCAAAACATCTCTATTATGGATAACGTTGGTTGCGAAAGCCTACGTGTTAACCTTACCACACCTCACCGCCATGCTCCCACGCCCCTTTTATTCTTTTGTTCAGAAGAAGAGCCACTCCCTGTTGTGTGGCAGTCCCTTGCCCTGAGTGAAGGACTGTCCGCCCCTCATGTTGGCAGGAGCTAGTCCACCGGACCTCCGGAATACCGCAGAGATCCAGCCGGTACCGTTCTAGCTCCCAAAAGTGGAGTGGCATCCTCTCCTCCGCAGTGAGCATTCGAACATTCCACGTGGCCATCCGCAATGGGTTTTTGCTGTTTTTGGAGGAACCCCGAAGGTACGGATTCAGACTCCTTGCTCAGCCAAATGGGGTTTGGCCAGGAAACGTCATAGACACCTGTTCCCCGGGGCTTCTGGCACAAGCTTTGTTCTATATATTTCTCGTGGTTGAGTGGTAGTTCAATTGAAGTGGAGGGGTTACCAGCTCCTTGCACC